CACCTGTATTCCCAGCTACTTAAGAGGCTGAGATGGGAGGAGCCCAGGAGGTCGAGGCTGCAGTGGGCTATGACTGTACCACTGCACTCCAGCCTGGGTGACAGAGACTCCATCTCTTAAAAAAAAATTAAGTACAAAAGTCATTTAAGAATCCTCCCCCATTAATTCTGCTATACATCACAGAAGTTCAGGAGGGGCTGGGCAGAGTTGGACCTCAGCCTCTGAAGGTGGAGCTCCTGTAGCTGACAAAGTGTAAGGTGTGTCTGCAGTATTATTTATGAGTATTTAAGAGTATTCAGCTCATCCAGAGAAAATAAGAGAAATGAACAGACAGGCCAGTAGCCTGTGAGACACATGAGCCAGTGGACAGTGGAGAGGGAATGGGAGCATCAGAGAGGTATTCAGTATTGATGAGGCATTCAATATTCGTGATATATTCAATATTCATGAGACATTCAGTATTCATGAGGTCAGACAAAATTATCCACCCGTTCTTGACGTCTATTTTGGCCCTACTGTTTTATGCCTGGGACAAGCAGATAAAAGGCTTAATTCATTTAATCTATTAGAGTTAGTCAAATTCTCAGTTGAGTCCATTTTAACATCTTGCTAGTTCCCTTATTAACAGATTTTATAAAGATTAACATAAAATCTTTGACCTTTGTCCATTAGAAAAGTAATGGAGATTCCTATCTCCACTCCAGTAATACAGAAACCTAGACACAGTCTTATACACTTTGGTTTCCATGTCGCCTTGGCCTCATCATGTTGATATTGCCCAGACTAAATTCTGGGTTTTTAAAGATGTGTGTTGTTTTTCTTTTTTTTTCTTTTTTTGAGACAGAGTCTCATTCTGTCCCCCAGACTGGTGTACAGTGGTGTGATCTTGGCTCACTGCAATCTCCACCTCCCAGGTTCAAGCGATTCTTGTGCAATCTCCTGAGTATCTGGGATTACAGGCGCATGCCACCATGCCTGGCTAATTTTTTGTGTTTTTAGTAGAGATAGGGTTTCGCCATGTTGGCCAGGCTAGTCTCAAACTCCTGAACTCAGGCAATCTATCAACCTTAGCCTCCCAAAGTGCTAGGATTATAGGCGTGACGCATCATGTCCAGCCTGACTTTAGCTTTTTAAGAACCACCAGAGACTTACCAAAGTACTGATTTTTATGTTGTAATCCTCTTATAAGACTTCCTAAATTTTGTTTCTCAATGTAAGCATGTCATGCAAACCTGCTTTCCAGGTGGCAAAGCTCTGAAACATGGTATGCCTGGAAACTTTTAAAATTAATTCAGTACCTATTTATTATATGTCTGCAACATAGCAGGCTTGTGGCAAGTGAATAGTCATGAACAAATTAGCTCCCACCAACTCTCAGCCTCTCACCAGCACAGGGCCTCTGCACTGCCTTGATCTGTTCCCAAGGACATCTGGAACCCAGTGGTGTGCTTGTAAATGCTAAACAGGCATTTCAAATGCTAAAAACACATTTCAAATGACTCTCTAAGGAAGTAAATGATTACAATTTCAAAACTTCTTGATATTTTCCTTATTTTCCTTAATTTGGACAATTTACATTTTATAACATTAAAAGTTGTTGCTTTTGTGTGAAAAAAATCCCATGAACAGGGTACCAAAGAAACAGCATTTTAAAAAGCCTATGCTAGTACTTTTTAAATCTTCTTATGAAAATGTGAAAACATAAAGTTAGAGAGAACAGTGTAATGAATTCCTGTGTACCAGCTCCAACAGTGACCAACACTTGTCCAGTACCGCTTCATACAAATCTTCCTGTCATCTCTATTAATGGAACTCCCTGTCCATGTTTTAAGGCTGACTCAGACACATCCTTTCCTCTGGGATGCCTTCAGTTTGTGGGTGTGACAAAATCCATGAACATCGTATTAGCCAGATATTAGCGCTTTTATCAGCCAAATATTTTAGTATTTCCGTATTTTCTTTTTTGTTGCCCTGTCCTTTTCCATGTGGTCTTCCAATGGTAAATTTATTCCATTACTTAGCTCATCGGTTGTGTTCACTCTTTCAAATTCTGCTTGGTTCTGTTTTCTGATCTCTTTTAGAATGTTTAATTCCTCGACTGTGTTCTAAAATACTAGGATCTATTCTAATAGAATCTCTATTCATTTTGAGCTTTAAATAGTTGTGCTCTTCAGATTTCTCATTTCTCCTTATGAGGTCATTTTCCCCTGGAGGCTTTGGCTGCCAGGCCAGGTCTGTGTGCACAGAAGGCAGGACCTCAGTGCCAGAGGGCATAGGGGGAGGTGGGCCAGCAGAAACGCACACTCACTCCTCATCCTTCAGGTCTGGCCTCACACTTTGTTCTTTTGCAGCTGTATCAGACAGACCAATCTCACCAGTCCTGGAGGGTGGGATGGGGGAGGCACCTGCTGGAGGCTGATTAGCTCCCACCAACTCTCAGCCTCTCACCAGCGCAGGGCCTTTGCACTGCCTTGATCTGTTCCCAAGGACATCTGGAACCTAGTGGTGTGCTTGTAAATGCTAAACAGGCTACCCTGTCCTAATGTATGCACATATATGTGTACATCAGCTTACTGTACATGCTACAGATAAAAAGGAGTGGCATGCAGTTTAAAAACGCGAATAAAATATACAACACTGTTGTGAATCCCACAAAGCCAGTTCTTATGGAATGCTTTCATTGAATCTTGCTGAGCCCTACATCTGAAGCCAACACAGGTTGCACTGGATGAATGAGTGTGGTTCTGACAGGAATGCTGGGGATGTTTTCACTTAGGAGTCAGATGAAGGTGAAGCAGCAAGGTGAATGTCAGAGCTTCACTCGTTCAATGAATCAGTGACTTCTTTGCTTCAGCAATGTTTCCAGAGGCTGTGAGATGATTTCTTCAATTTTCTGTGCCATTCACAATGCAAAAGCTACATTTTAAGTATGATCTGCATCTTCCTCCACCACTTTCTTGGTCTAGAGACAATCACAACAGTGAATCAAGCCCTGAGTCACGATGTCTGTGGGTATCACTGGTATGAAACCTCCCACCCAAATTGATTCCAAGCTACTGGTGTGAGTCCCCAAATGCAGCCCACCATTGTAGAGTATGCGCACAGAAGAACACCGATTGTAGTAAAATGCAGCAAAAAGTAGGAAGGGATGAGTTTTGAGTATTTGTTACTTTTAATATAATTCTAAGTTTATAAAATGTAACTGTAAATAACAGCTGTGTTCACCTACTGGCTGGCCACGTTCCTGGCGCTGCAGCCTCTGGCACACCAACGTCTGGTCCAGTGCTCCCTCTGGCTGACCATCTGCCTGGCAAGCCTTCTCTGTTAGGCCCACCCTGATCCCAGTACTTACCATTGCAACCAACTGCACTATCCTCACCTACTTTTTTTTCCTTTTTTTGGAGACGGAGTCTCGCCCTGTTGCCCAGACTGGAGTGCGATGGCACAATCTCGGCTCACTGCAACCTACACCCCCCAGGTTCAAATGATTCTCCTGCCTCAGCCTCTGAGTAGCAGGGATTACAGGCATCTGCCACCACATCCAGCTCGCTTTTGGTATCTTTAGTAGAGACAGTTTCACCATGTTGGCCAGGCTGGTCTCGAACTCCTGACCTGTTATCTGCCCACCTTGACCTCCCAAAGTGCTGGGATTACAGGCATGAGCCACAGCACCCAGCGCTCACCTGCCTTTTCTTTCTTCCCAGGCACATTCCCTGACACTGGCATCTGGTGTGTTTAATCTCATTTGCTTTCCTCCAGAACAGCAGCTATTTGGGGGACTCAGTCTCTGTTGTGTTCACCAACCCGTTCCAAGCAGCTGGAAGAGTGCAGTCTGGGTTGGCCTTCATGACATGTGGACTGAGTAAACGCTCAAGAACCTCAATGCTTACAGTCATGCTCCAGGAGATTCATGAGACTATACAGTCTTGTAAAAAGCAAAACTTTCCTCTTCCTTGGTAAAATTCAGGACATTTCCCCAATTCCATGACAGAATACTGAGTCCGAATATTCCATCCAGTGTAGCACCTGAGGCAGCTCCCGGAGAATTGCTATCCTAAGGATTCACTTGTCAGTGAGAGGTTTCCCTCCATTCTTTTCTCTGAAGCTTGTTTTTGCTGCAACGTATTTTAACATTTTTATTGTGGGAAAAATGAAATAGTTTCAAAATTGATGCAAATGAGAAAACCAAGTTGTCTGTAATAGTGCTGTTTTTTATTTGTATGGTGCTTTCGACTTTTCAAAATATTTTCCTAAATTTTTCATTTAACTGTAGAAACATTAAATGGATATACTTTTAAAAAAGGAACACAAAGTCAAAACCACCCCAAATCCCATGTCCACAGACTACAGCCAGACTCCCTCCTTAGCCAGCCTGACCCGCCTCTGCCTGTACAGTACAGTACATGAAGCATATATACACTGCATTACAGCCATGACACAGCAATGCTGCTTTGCTGCCAACTTTCCACTTCATTGTGACTGTCCTTCCAGTGCTGTAATGAGAAACGGCATAGTTCCACGGGGCACTTAGCACCTGCTTTTTTCACTGCACCTCAGCACCCCTGTGTCACTGTTGCCTCTTATTGAGTACGTAGGTTCTTCCTGTGTTCTATCCACAAGTAAGGTGAGGGTAACAAGTAATGTGGGTGTGTATCATCATTTTGCATGCAGGGTGAGGGCGGGGCAGTTGCATACTTTTCCTCTACACCACCTTATATACAGGAGAGGTGCCAACATGCTCTATACCACCATATCTATGGGAGAGGCGCCAACATGCTCTCCAGGAAGACGGTGAATTCAAGAATCTAATGGGGGGTGGGAAGGGGACTGAGGAGAGACTGTCCCAAGTTGGGGAAATCAGGTGAAGTCGGACCTGCAGCTCTCGGGGGGCACATAGACACCTTTCAGGTTATGCACGTGAGCATCCATCCCCGGGTCTGCTAGTGGAGACAAGGGCAGAAATAATTTGAAAGGAAAAGAAAATCTCAGCAACAAAAGAGTAGTGAAACATTTTCTTTTTTATTGACTCAAATCCTTTGTCTGTATTTGACAGCGTCTCATGCTCAGTTCCGGCTGGTCTCAGTGCGAGAGGAAGCTCATGCAGTTGTAATGTGTGGTGTATACACAAATATACATACAGAGAACACTGAGGATTGCATCGTAGCAACAAGTTTCTTGGCCGAATTACATTCATAGAAAGTGTCCAGGTTCTAAAATCAAATTAAAAGCATGTAACCTAAAGCCTGAAAAAGCAAACAGCTTTAGGGGCTTACTCCATGAATGTCCATAGACTGTGCTTTTCACGGCTCCATTCATGTTTAATGGCCCATCAGTTCCTCACACACCATCAGCTTATGCTGTGGCCAAAGTAAGTGTTCTTGGGGCTTGGTACTTGTCCCTTCAAACAGTAAACAAGAAAGTGCAGACGGTGCTGCCAGAGACAGGAGACTTTTCACAAGAGACTGAAAAAGCCAACACACCCTTACAACTAAAGGTTATGGTCAAGTCAGACCTGCCAGCCACCTCCACCAGTCCCTGGCACCCGGCGGGTCAGAGGCTTCTCTAATTCTATTCCCCGGCATCAAGTGAACACCAGAACTCACATGGAAGGCACTGAGTGACCCACCGGCCTTGGGCCTGGGTACACCCACTCCTCACCCAGGGAGATTGTCACACAACATGTTAAGGGGCAGGGACGCTGTAAACTGGACACACATGGTACACAAACACTCCGCCCTTTCCACTTACACAGCATGGGATTGATAAGAAGGAATCTTTTGAGCAAGTGTGTAATTTCACAGAATCTAGAGGTGGGAAAGATGGCCAATTTTCCTTCTTTTTCTGGATAAAGTTATGCCTGGGGCAGATGACCTGCTTCTGGGGTAAAGTATTTTAGAAGGAAAAAGAGCCACTGCCATGCTCTGAGACATGGGCAGATCCAGGTGTGCTGCTAATCCCATCCTCAGATCTGCGCACAATGTGAAGACGGAGCCGTCCCCTCCTCAGTGTATTTGTGTGAGATTACAGGGAGAGACACTGTTTTCACGAAGAAAGCAGCGGTTCCACAGCCTGGAAATAAATATAGTTATTTGAAAAAAAAATCCAGAGATATCCATGCCTTGTGAGACAGTGGCCAGTACATTTTAAAGTAATTGCTTCTGATTATACAAAATTCTCCAAAACAGGAAAAGATGATGAAAAGTTAAATGAAGACGCAGAATCAGAACTGCAGTTCTTTGGCATCCCTTGCTGGGAAGAGGTGGGCCTGGCGTATGACCGGGTGATGAGTGCGGAGGAGGGTGGTGACATCCATCTCGACCTTTCACTCCTCATGGCACAGAACACACCACCCACCTGAGACTTTTGCAGCACTGACCTCCCAACAGCAGGACTCTGTCCCTGGCAGAGCTGTACCTGAGTGGTCCCGAGGGACAGTGTGTTTGTGGAATTAATACTTCAGGTTTGGCTAACAAAACAAAACAGAAGCCCCCTCTTTCCCTACTTGTCAAAATGTCCTCAAAATGTAAGACGTTTCTTAAAAAAATCAAGTTCCTGCTTGTACCAAATTTTCTTCTAAGTCTCTAAAACCCATATCAAGGACATGGGATGCAAAATGACACCTCAATGGAACAGCTAGAGTCTAATGCACAATGAGCGCTCTGAAGGGAAATTAAAGTGCTAAGTTTCCTCATCTGTCTCAGGGAGGAGCCAGCATTCTGTATTTTTTTTTTCTGACTACAGATGTGCAGTCCTAGGAGCACTGCACAGCCTCTGGTCCCCTGGCCAGGAGAGTGGCTCCTGCACATCAGCTTCCTCCCCGCAACTGCCCTGCCCAGGCCTCCCTGAACCCAGTTGCCTTGGCTACCTTCCTCCTGCCTGGAAGGCTTGGGGTGGGACATCCTGTGCCTGCCTGTCCACCCAGGAAAGGTGCACCTTAGGGTCTCAAGGCACCTGCTCAGGCCCCACAAGGTGAGGCCCTCACTTATTTGGGGTGGTACAGGAAGCAATCATGCTCATTTTAGCTATTTCCTGACAGAAGGAAAAAGCCAGACATACTGGGTAGTTTTGTATGTAAATGGAATATATTAACAGTAAACTTTGTAACCAAAATCCACATATTTTTAAAAACTAAGTCCATCTCCCAATCCCCATTAGAAAAAAATACAATTTATCAAGACAAGAATAAAAACACATAGACTTACATGGTGTTTTACCTAGAATGTGCAAGAGCCTGCTTGGGGGAAGGCCAGCGAAGACCCCTTTCCTTCTGCAGGTACAGAAACCCCCACACAATCTGCCTAAACAGTACCCCACTGTTGTGGAGGGGCCTGCAATGCCCACTCTGACTGGTTCAGGGAGACAACTACCCTCTTCGGTAGAGGAGAAGGCTGGTGTGGGGCAGAAGTTCGTGCCTCTGAACCTGGTCGTGTCCCCAACAACGAGCTAAGCAGCACCCCTTCCTGCCATGCTGGGACGAGATCTGTGTGGACACACGCAGACAGGGCTCCTGACATCGGGAGGCGCACATCCCACCAAAGCCGTGGCGCTTCCCTTCTCAGGTCTGAGCTCCCCGGGCCTAGGGGGAGGAGGATGCCCCTCTGCCCCTGTTCTGGTTTCCTAGGCCCATCACGGACACACAGGCGTCATCACCCTGGACTTCGCTGTGGCAAATGTATGCTGTAGGGTGGAGTCTGCACCAATCTTTGCCCATGGCCCCAGGAGACCCACCTGAGCACCCTCCAGTGCCTTAGAGCTGGGCACTGCACTGGTGGGCAGAGCATTTCTCTTGGCTCCTCTTTCATCCTGAGCGGAGGCAACAAGGCAACTGGTGCAAATCTCTGAGCTGGGTGGAGGTGGTCTACACAGGGCCCTTGCCCGCACTCCTGACCTCCTGGGCTGGCTCCCTCTGCCGCGGGGCCGTCCTGTGCACTGTGGGTGCTAGGCAGCCCTGAGCACCCCTGTAGGGACCGTCAGCATTTGGTCTACACTATGCCAGCAGCACCTGGTCTCACCAGCTCTCACCTGGATGCTTTTTATTTTTCAAACATGTCTTTGATAAAGCTGGAAACAATAATTTTAAAACATGCCCTCTACGGCATTTTCCAGGAATGAATATCTACTGAAATACTTCTCCTTCCATCCTGTGAAGGTCTTTGGGCAGTCACTCACATCCATTCGACTCGGAGTAAGGAAGAGGGAACTTAGGCCGTGTATTGTGCAGCAGCCCTCCTGATTCCTTCTAGTCCATAAAAGTTAAATATCGTTTAAAAAACCCGAATTAATGGCCAGCCTGGGTTACTGGCCACGTTTTATCTGTGATTACTTAGAATAAAATGAGAAAAGTTTTCCATGATCTGATCCTACAACGAGAACAGAAGCTTCTAGAGGAGGCTGAGGGCTACAGGGTCCTGGGTCATGACTCTGCAGGACACACAGTCACCGCTGTGGGACCCCATGTGCGTGACAGGGCCACGCTACATCATGCTGGGAGTCTGCTCCTCGGGGAGAGACTGTTAAAACCTAGTGTGTGAAACTAGCCACGGAGGTACCTATGGAGAAAAGAGACCTAAGTTTAGACAGACGTGTGGCAATTTCCTTTAGGTTACTACTTCCTACCTCTATTTCCCACCCTCCTCCATATATAGATGCTTTTTTGCAGTTAAAATAATGTGGCCTAAAAGTGACCTGACATAATTACTTCTTATTTTATAAACCACATTCCTAGCTCTGAATAAATTATTTATTCAAGAATTTCACACAAAGTAATTTCTATTTTCCTAAACTTAAGGAAGCCCTACTCAGTAGAACTCAATTTCTAAACATAAACTGAGATTGGAAGCAGTCACTGGACGGTTCAGAAGGGGAAATACTGTGGCAGAGAGATGCCAGGTGGCGAGACCGGGCCCCAACACACCCCTGTCCCCTCCCCACACTGTGTACTGCCCCGGGTCTGATGTGAGATGCTGGGGACAACAGTGGACACCTGGTGGTCCTGTGTCCCCTACTCCCTCCCCAAGGTATGCACCTGCCCCCAGTTCAGATGTGAGGTTCTGGAGGACGACGCTGGATGCCCACAGCCCCCTGCACCCCACATCATGTCTGCCCGGGTCAGGGCGTGAGTGAGAACTGGTCCTGCTCAGTGGGCTTCTCCACCCAGGCCCCCAGCCCCGCCTTGATGAAGGCGGTGAACAGACGCGCCTTGGCAGCCTGGTACTCCTTTGCCGCCAGCTTGGACTCATGGTACATGTTGGGCTTGGTAATCTTGGAGCGTAGTAAGTGGGAGGGAACCTGTGAAGGGATAAAAAACAAATTCAACTGTGGAAGCAGTAAATGATGAAAATAACACCTAAGATGCCAGAAAAATGGCCTTTCGAACTGCACTGGCTTCTCAGGGGAAAGCAGCCCAGAGGAAGGCGCTTTCTGCCAAGGGAATGGCTTTACACACAACAAGGCGCGGCGTCTCCTAAGGGCTAAGTTATCATCACCAAGTTCCAGTCTTGCTGGTCAAACAGGCAGCTACAGACTCCCGACTTCCGAAGATGTGCTTCTGGAAACCACCAACAGTCGATTCAAGTTTCACTTTTAACTATGAGAAGCACCACTGATGTTATGTGTGTCTTATCACCCTGCTGATCTCAGAGGCCTTCCCTGCTGACTCCTTTCTGTGTGGACCTTGGACTTGCAGCAGCTGGCCCAGGTGCTGCCCCTGTGTGAACAGGACCCTCCTGGGCACTGTCACTTCCGGCTGTACCCCCCATGCCAGTGCACAATGCTGGTCTCAGAATAAACAGATTCTACCTACTTGATTGAAGAATAAATAAAAACTAGTAATATCCTGATTTACTATATAAGGTTTTATCGTGGGGAAAAAGGGGCTCCATAGCTAATTCAAAACTCTCATGGAGGGTTGTCAGAATCCAATCAATTTTTGTGTTGCTGAGAAGGAGGGGACAGCAGGGTGAGTGGCCCTCCGTTTTGCACAATGACTTTCAATATCTGAGAGTAAGACATTTCCACCATGCACAGTGGTCTGGCAGGGAGTCTGACCCTGCAGCAGGGAGGAAAGAGCTGCCTTTGAGACGGCATTAAGGTTGGAGGAACGCTGCCACACTTCTAAGCTAAAACAAGCTGAAGGAATAAAAGGTTTCCCAATGATGGTTTTAGGAAGCTGTGCATGATGGCATGACGATGAAACAGTTTAAGGAACAGTAGGTGTGAGGACAGACAAGCTATTGGGGAGGTGGAGCCGGCGCATCGCGGTGAGGGCACCTCAGTACCTTGCCGTGCACACGCATCCAGCGACAGTACAACGCGTGCTTACACAGGCGGGACGCGCGGCCCAGCTCATCCTTCCCTGTCGTGGCGTTGATGACCTCAATAGCGGAGTCGCCTACTGTCCAGTTCACGCTGAAGTTGGGGGCCTTCCCTGGCTGCCGTGCTTCTGCATTGCTGATGCCTGAAACGGAAGACACAGGAAGGTAGTGTGAAGCCCGCATTCACTCCAGGGAAGGAGCAGCCAGGTGCAGCACACTCTGCTCAGACGTGGCCACAGACATGCGTGGTGGGGAATTCTGCCTGCCGAGGAATGTACGTAGACTTGGGTGTGCATCTGCCGTGGCCGTGCCTCACACCCTTCCACTGCCACCAGAACAGGAGTAGTGCTGAGAAAGCAGAAGTGACCCATGGGTACGCACTTGTCTGACAGGGCAGGTGGGCAGAAGGTTGACAGAAACCTGAAATGATGAGACGTCCTGCCAAGTGTGTTTTTGCTGACTCTGGTGCTGATGGTGCTAAGAACCCTAGCAGCCTGAGGGTGGATGGGTGGGAGTCACTTCTGCAACTAACGCAGGGTCCAATGAGGCTGCGCAGGTGGGGCTGCTCCCTACAGGGTCGCACCCATGTCTGGTGCTCCTGCCCTGCACATGCTCCCTGCCATGAGAGGCCAGGCATGTTCAGGTCACGTGGCTTTGCATGTGTGACACCCATGATGCAACAGGAAACTCCAATTGTTAACAAGTGTCTTGAAATGGTTCACAAGAGCCTTGAAAAAACAGAAAATGTGTACAATGAAAAAACTTCATGGATTTCAAAACTGTTTTGAAATAAACTTGTACTACTTGCTGAAAGATGCCTGAACAGGATCTAGTTTGAGGCATAAGAAGATCAAGACGTCTGTTTGAAAAGAGCTCCTATCAGAGCTACATGACTTCTGCTAAAATTGAAGCAAGAACAAACATCAAACACGAGATAAAAATTGCTTTACCAAGCATTTTCAATCCTGAAGAAAATGCACACTTAAGCAAAAAAGGCTACCAAGAGGCAGATGGAGTCCAGTCAAAGCACAGGCCATGGCAACATTTTTGGGATACTCAAGGCATTTTGCTTGTTGAGTTCACTTGGAGGGCCAAGGAATGATAACATCTACTTATTATGAGAGTGTTTTGAGAAAGGCAGCCTAGCTTTAGTAGAAAAACCCCTGGGGAAGCTTCACCAGCATCCTTGACCATGACAAAGCTCCTACTCACTCCTCTCATCAAAAAGGCCAACTTTGTGAGGGTTTTGATGGAAAATCATGAGGCATCCACCTTATGGTGGGTGCAAATCCACCTCATTTGGCTCCTTCTGCCTTCTTTTTGTTTCTTAATCTCAAATATTCTTTAAAGGGCACCATTTTTCTTCAGCTAATAATGTAAAAAGGCCGGCATTGACATGGTTAAATTCCCGATGTTCACTTCTTCAGGGACAATCTAAATGGCTGGGATCAGCGCTTACAAAAATGTCTTGAATTTGATGTGCTTATGTTGAGAAATAAAGTTTATATCTTTTAAAAAAAATTTTTATCTTTTAACTTTATGAACTTTGGGAAATACCCTTGTATTTGTTTCCTTACTGTATTTAAACTGTCTCATCTTAACTAATCACAGGCTAATTTTGCTGAGTTGAAACTTTTTAAAGAAACACGGATAACTGGGAATCGAATACATGTATCTCCACTCATATACTGAGCTTGATAATTCATATCACATGGATGTTATCGGCCACCAAAATCAAAACTGATTTAGGATATGACTCTTTAGAACATGCTTAGAAGATGAGCGGACTCATATTCTGAAGCCAGACACTGAGTCATCAAGCCCACTGGCCATGACAGCACTTGGCACTCTCAGATGACTGAGCACAACTCCCTTCATGCCCTGTGGAGGCCACCTCCACCCCTGTCACCATGCTCATTTGCTTTCAATGACCATTCACCCTTCCCTTTGAGAGATATTAAAACCCAGATGACAATTTACTGCCAGAACAGTTTACTGTTCAAAGTAAGGAACCCAGGCAGGGTGTAGCAGATCCCATTAATTGAGAGTCAAGGAAAAGCAAGTCAGTCAGATTTCATAAGACAGAGTATCAGAAGCAAGAGAAATGAAGAGAGAGAGAGTGAACCCTGGAGATATGCAGAGGTTGGACTTGAATATCCTGTGGAGCACTGATCAGAGGGTGCATATTACTCAAGGCTGGGAAGAGAATCAGAGGGAAAAGTGCCTGACATTCACATGTAGAAGATACAGACAAAAAGATATAAAAAGACCTAAGCCAAACTTCTGGAGATGAAAACTGCAGTGTATTAGATAAAGAATACACTTGATGGGATTGAACCACAGAATAGAAACCACAGAAGAAAAGATTGGTGAACTTAAAGACATAGTTACAGAAACTATCAAAAATGAAACACAAAGAGAGAAAAGAGACTGAAAGAATAAAAGAACAGAAAATCAGTGATGTGGGGCAGGTTTAAGTAGACTGAAATATGTGTACTTGGATTTCATGAAGGTAAGGAGAGAGAAGGGGGAAGAGAAAATATATCTAAAGAAAGATGAATAAAAACTTTCCAAATTTTATGAAACCAACAAACCCATGGATTAAAGAATTTCAGTAAATCCCAAGCACAAGAAACATGAATAAAACTATACCAAAACACAACAGAACAAATTGTTTAACACCAGTATTAAAGGAAAATCTTAAGCAAACCGAGAGGAAAAAAACACACAGAGAAATAAAGACAACACATTTCTCACTGGAAACAATTCAAACAAGAAGTCAGGGAACCAATGTTTTTAATGCACTTAAAGGAGAAAACAAACCCTGCCATTCCCGCAGAAATATATTCACACAGCAAAATATACTTCAAAATGAAAGCAAAATACTTTACCAGATGTACCAAAGCTGAAATAATTCATCATCAGAAGACTTGTGAAACAGGGAATATAAAAAGGGAAGTCCTCCAGCCAGAAGAAAAAATGATACCAAAATGGAAATCTAGATCTATACAAAGGAATGAAGAGCCCTGGAAATGATAGCTACATGGATAAATACACAAGAGTTTTTTTCTTATTATTTAAATTCCTTTAAAAGATAATTATTAAAACAAAAATAATTATGTAATGTGGATTTTTTTTTAAATATATGCAAAAGTGTCTGAAAACAATACCACAAAGGTTGGGAGTGAAAAAATGAGAGTAACCTGTTGTAAGGTTCTCTTACTATATGTGAAGTAGTATAATATCACTTGAAGGTAGATTGTGGTAAGTTAAGAATGCATACTGTAAACCCTAAAACAACCACTAAATTAACAAAAGTTACAGCTCAAAAGTTAAGAAGGAGTCAGCATGGAATCATCAAACACACCCAATTAAGGCAAAAGCAGTAAGAAGATGAGGAAAAAGTGAACAAAGAATATATGAAACACGTAGAAAATAAGTAGCAAGATGAGATTCAAACCTAATAATATCAATAATCACAATAAATGTAAATGGTCTAAGTACCACAGTGAAAAGCCAGAGACTGTCCATGGTGGGAGAGGGGAGCAAGATCCAAACATGCTGCCTATAAGAAATATACTTTTAATATAAAGTAGTTTAATATAAAGGGACAGAAATACACTGTGCTAACACTAATCGAAAGAAAGTTGAAGAGATTATATTAATCCCAAAGCAAATTTCAAAACAAACATGATTACCAGAAATAAAGAGGGTCATTTTATAATGATAAAGGAGGTCAGTTTATTAAAAGAAACCAACAGTCCCTAAATTTTTATGCATCTAATCACAGAGCTACAAATACAGGAAGTAAAAACTCTAAAAAAGGGGAAGAAATAGACAATGTACAATTATAACAAAGAGATTTTCAATCCTGTCTCTCAATAACTGATTGATCAAGTAGAAGTTCAATAAAAATATAAAAGAAAATAAATAATATAATCAAACAACTTGGCCTAATTAACATTTATGGGTCACTCTACCCCAAAGTGGCAGATTTACATTCTCAAGTTTTGTGAAACACATACAAAGACAGATCATATTCTCTAGTCCATAAAACCAAGTCTAAACAAATTTAAAAGGACTGAAGTCATTAAATGAAACTCAAAACCAACAACAGAAAGATCTCTGTAAAATTTCTAGTATTTTAAAACTAAATAGCAGACTTTTAAGTAACCCAAGGAACAAAGTACTTTAATATCATTGAAAATAAAAATACAACATATAATTTTTCAATGCTACAAAAGCAGTAAAAAGGGTCTTAAAACAATGATCTCAGCTAGCCCCTTAAAAACTACAAAAAGATGGGCAATTGAAATACCAGGTAAGCAGAAAAAAGGAAACAATTAAAATCAGAGTAAAAATTATTGAAATATAAAACAAAAGACAAAAATCACTGAACCTAAAAGTTGGTACTTAGAGATGAACAGAATTGATAAACTTCTAGCTAGACTGATCAGAAAAAACAAGAGAGGACACAAATCATCAATATATGGGATAAGATGATATCATTAGGGATACCACAGATATTAAAAGGAATAATCTGAACACTTATGCCAATACATGAGACAAATTAGATGAAATGAACAAAGTCCCTGAAAGACAAATTACTGAAGCTCACTCAAGAAAAAAGAAAAAAAAAAAAAAAAAACAGATAATATGAACAGTCCTAAATCTATTATAGAAAAATAATTTGTAGTTAGATATTTTCTCACAAAGCAAACTTCAGACCCAATGGCTTTACTGGTGAATTCAACCATACATTTAATGAAATAATACCAAATCCAAACAAACTCTTCCAGAAAACTGAAGAGAAAAAAAATGCATCTCAACTCATTTTATACCTGACAAAGACATTAAACTAAAATTATAGACCAATATCCCTATAGACAAGTATACTATAAATGCAAAAATTCTAAAGAAAATTTTAGCAAATTGAATCCAACAATATATAAAAAGAATAACACATAATAGCCATATAAAGTTTATCCCAGGATGCAAAGTTGGTTTAATTGCTTTTTTTTTTTTAATGTCACCATTAGCAGACTGAAAAATGAGCCAAATGCTTATCTCATTTTTTGTTGCTGTTGTTTCAGATGGGGTCTCACTACATTGCCCAGGAGGGCCTCAAACTCCTGGGCTCAAG